ACATGTGGATGTTGTAGGAAAGCGCCCCCACCTCCCCAGAATAAAATATTCTTTATTCTTAATATTAAAATGAGGCGGAATAGAATGTTTCCCCTGAAGGAGAAGAGGAGAGACGTGTTCTTAAAGGCAGGAAGCAGCCCCGGTCTTCCTGCTGGAGGAAAACAGCCTCAAGCAGTAATCCTGAAGAGGCTAGTCTTTAGGAATGGAGAGTTTGTATCAGTTCGGAAAGACTGAGCCACTCTATTCACAAGCAAAGAGCAATCCGAAACTCCAAATAAGCAACATGATAGGCAAGGAGCCAAAGATGACCAGATTAGCTCAGATTAGCTTAAAGATTTCGGCTGCGTTAGCCTCCTGCAATCCTCCATTTTTGCTGGCAGAAGCATCACAGGCTGGTCCTTTGCTGTTTCCAGGGAGGCCCCACGGGCCAGATCTAAACCCCCTGCAGGCTGGATCTGGCCCCTGGGCTTTGAGTTTGTCACCCCTGATCTACATGAATTAATTGGAATCAATTCAATTAAGATATTGAAGGATATATTCTTGTACAGGAATAGGCATCTCAGTCACAAAGCCCCAAAGAATGTATAAAAGCCCACCTACTCTCAACCCCATTTTGTCAGCCACCCCACAAATGTGTTGCTGTCACTGAAGTTTCTGGCTACCAAATAAATGGAGATCTTTCTTTCCTGCAGCCTGCTTACATTTTATTTCCAGAGTCTTTCTCCTGGTTTGGAAGCTGACCTTATTTTTCTTCCAATAATGTCAACTCCCAGAATCCCCCAGCCAGTCTTAAAACTGGCCAATATGGAGAAACCTTACCCTAGTCTACATCTAGAATGTCTCAAACCCGCAGATAATTACTGCGATATCATAAACGATGGCTGAAAGAGACAAATGGTATTCAGATGATAGTCATTTTTAGGAAAAATAATCAGATACATTATCCCTTCTTGTAGAAATTAAAAACGTTCCTCTCCTGTGAACGTCAATTCCCAGAATTCCCCAGCCAGCATCTTAAAGTTGCCATGGTTAAAAAAAAAACACTGTTCCACAATTTAATCTGAAAATGTATTATTTTTCTAGTCTTTTCTCCAGAAATTCTGTCACTGAGGCTGTTTGCAGGCTATATCCCTTGCTTTTTGTCTTTTAATGAAATTTAGCTTGCTCCATTGAGTTTTATATTATAAACTGCAGGCAATAGTTGTGAAATAACACATCTTATACATAGGCGGTTGTGAGACAAAGTTAAGGTTAAGGCATTTCTTTTTATAATACGCAATATTTTTTTTTTCTGTTGGTGTTGTTGATTCTGAAAACATGTCCATGTTTGTTTTTAACTTCTAGAATTTCATTTCCTCTATAGAAAAGGGTGGATCATTGGTTCCACCATAAATTATTCTTACTATTCAGAATCTTCTAATGTTACACTAATTAAAATAAGAGAATTGCATTCCCTGTTCATTATAGTGTAATAATGAGTGTTCCTTGGACCTAATTCTGGAGTTTTATTAATGCTAGGCGGGATTTTTACGAGAGTAAAATGGACCTCTGCATGCCACTTTAAACCTATCTGGAGGAACAGTAGAAAAAAAAAGGAAGATAAATATACATACTGTGCCAGAGAAAAGGAAGTATCTCAGCCACATAAAATATAAAAACAGGCAAGTGGTAACATGTTTTGTTCCTATGTGTCAAATATAGCAACAGTAACGTGATGGAGGTGTTTAAAAAGAGTCAGTTTGGTTCAGTGAAGAAGATGTTGGCTTAAAAATGTAGAGAGGAAAGTTTGCAAAATTATTTTGGGCCTGTCAGCTTAGCCTACCTCACAGGGTTGTTGTGACAGGAAAAATACGGATCAGGAACATTATGTTCACTGCTTTGAGTGCCATGTCAAATAAAGGCAGGATATCATTCTAAATATAATATACAATCGATAAAAAGACTTAATGCAAGGGAGTATTTTAAGCGGGCAGTTTTAAGTGGAATTCCCTGGAAGTCTGTAGTCCTCAAGGCAGGGGGGTCTGAAAGATAAATACAGGCAGTCCTTGACATACAACCATTTGTTTAGTGACTTATGACCATTTTTCGCACTGACGACCGTGATCAGGTGATCGAAATAGACGGGCAACTGGCATATATTTATCACGCTTGCACTGTCTTGGGATCTCATGGTCCCCATTTGTGACCTTCCCAGAGGCTTCCAACAGGCAAAAGTTAATGGGGGGAAACAGATTCAATTAACGACCGCATGATTCTCTTAACAACTGCAACAATTGGCTTAACAACTGTGGCAAAAAAAGGCATAAAATGCAGCAAAAGTCACTTAAGATACATACGCCTGGCTTAGCAACAGAGTTGTTGGGCTCAATTGCGGTCATAAGTCGAGGACTATGGGTGATCCATCCAAAAAGTTCTCCAATCCATTTTTTGAAACCTGCCGTGGGGTGGGGGGGTTTCCAGAGCATGTCAAGACTGCAATTCCACAGGAGAGGAACTACGGCACAGGTAGTCCTCGACTTATGATCACAATTGAGCCCAACATTTCTGTTCTTAAGTGAGGCATCTGTGAAGAGGGTTTTGCCCCATTTTACGACCGTTCTTGCCACCGTTGTTACGCGAATCAGCACAGTTGATAAGCTAGTAAGATGGTTGTGAACTGAAGCTCCCTTCCCCATTGATTTTTTTTTTGCTTGTCAGAAAATCGCAAAAGGGGATTTTCGTTTTATTTGTTTTGATTAGAAAATGTACATTGCCGCCTATTCGCACATGGCGATGCAAGGTGGCTTACAAGGATATAAAAACATCATATATTTATAAAAACATAAAACTAATAAAAAGAAAATGATCAAATAATACATTAATAAAATAACACCCCCCCCCCCCCCCGTGGCACCACATCACACAAGCCATTTAATCCCATGACCTTGGGACACAGCAACGGTCATAAGTATGAAGCAGTTGTCAAGCATCTGAATTCAAATCACATGAGCCTAGGGAGGCTTCAAAGGTTGTAACTGAACCGTTGTAAGGTGAGGACTACTTATACCCGTGATGGCAAACCTATGGCACGCAGAGCCATTTGTGCGGGCATGCGAGCCCCAGGCAAACTTACCTCACTGTGCTTGCGCACGACTCCCAGCTAATTTTCGGGCCTTTTTCGGCCTCGCAGAGGTTTGTGGGAAGCCTCTGCAGCCTTTGCAGGCCGAAAAATAGGCCCGTTTCATCACTTCCTGTATTTCCGGAAATACCAGAAGTGACGAAACAGGCCCATTTTTCAGCTTGCAAAGGCTGAAGAGGCTTCCCTCAAGCCTCTGCGAGGCCGAAAATCAGCTGCGGGGGGGAGGGCGCAGTGCAGGTAAGGGGATGGGAGGGGGGAAATCACACGCGCATGCGCAGGGGGCTTGGGGGGGCGTGTGCATTGCCTTCTGAGTGCTGGCACGCAAGCACATCTGTGCAAGTGTGCACACAATTTTTGGCACAGGGGGCGAAAAAGGTTAGCCCCCACTGACTTATACAGTTAGTCTTTGACTTATAGTAGTTCCTTTAGTGACCGTTCAAAGTTACAACGGCACTGAAATAAGTGACTTCTGGCCGTTTTTCACACTTTACGACCATTGCGGCATCCCCATGGTCGTGTGATGATAATTCAAGGGCTTGGCCACTGACTCGTATTTATGACAGTCGCAGTGTCCTGTGATCATAGGATCCCCTTTTGCGACCTACCAACAAGCAACGTCAATGGGGAGGCCAGATTCACTTAACAGCTGTACTACAGGTAGTCCTCGACTTACAACAGTTCATTTAGTCACCATCCAAAGTTACAACGGCACTGAAAAAAGCGACTTACGGCCGTTTTTCACACTTACAACCTTGGTAGCAGCCCCGTGATCATGCGACCAAAATTCAGGTGCTTGGCAACTGGTTCATGCTTATAACGGCCACGTGATCCTCCTTTTGCGAACTTCTGACAAGCCAAGTCAAGGGGGAAGCCAGATGCACTTAACAAGCATCTGACTGCAGTGATTCACTTAACGACTGTGGCAGGAAAGCTCGTAAAAAGGGGCAAAACTCACTTAACAGATATCTCACTTAACAACAGAAATTTTGGGCTCAATTATGGTCATAGGTCGAGGACTACCAGTACTAACTTAATGGCGGCAGTGGTTCACTTAACGACCGTGTTACTCATTGGATTCTCTAAACAGCGGTGGCGAGAAAGGCCGTAAAATGGGACAAAACTCCCTTAACAATTGCCTCACTTAACAGGCATTATGTCACCCTTAACAGAAACATTGGGCTCAATTATGGTTGTAAGTTGAGAACTACCTGTACTAACTTAACAGCAGTGGCAGCGATTCACTTAACAACCGAGGTGAGAAAGGTTGTAAAAACGAGGCTCAAAATTCAGTTAACCCACTGTCTCACTTAGTGACATAAACTCTGGGCTCAATGACGGCCATAAATCGAGGATTAACTGAATAACGCCAGATTTAAAGCTCTCCCCCCCTTTCCTTGGACGGGGAGTCCCTCAGACCCCTTCTTCCACTGCCTTCCTCTCCCAATTGTCTCGCAAGGATCCCCCAAAAACGCCTCTCTTCCGCCCTTCTCACAACAACCCCGCGAGGTAGGCCGGCGGGAGAGGATTTTCCCCCCCTCCCCGCCCCGCGAGTCGGGTCACGTGCCTGCGACCGCTCTTTCCCTCCTTTCCCCCCCCTCCACGCGCGACGTCATCGACTCCGCAGGTTCGCCCCCCACCGCACCTTCGCGCCCGCGCGGCCAATCAGGGCGCGCGGTGCCACGGGCGAGGAGGAGGAGGAGGAGGAGAAAGAGTGTGGGGGGGTGAAGTATTGTGGGGGTTCGCTCCTCCCCGCGCCCCCTCATTGGCCACGCGCCTCGGCCGGCCAGCCGGCCGGCCACCCCGCCCCGCCTTGTGCATATTCATGAGAGGGGCGGGCGCGAGGGGCGGGGCGGAAGCGGAAGCGTTGCGCGGAGACGGTTTCCGAGGAGTCGAGGGTTATAAAGCGCCCGCCGCCGCCGCCGCCGCTGCTGTTGGTCCGTCGCCTCTCCAGTCGCCCCCTCGCGAGTCGTGGCCGTCCCGGACGGACCTGCCAGCGCCTCCGGAGCAGCCCCGCTCCCAGTGCCGTCCACGCAGCCGGCCCCTGCCGACCGGGCGGGGGGGAAGCAGCCGGGCCCCGGCGGAGCAGCGCGGTCCGCGAGGAGCAGGTACCGGCCGAGCTCGGTTTCAAGCCTCCCCTCCTCCCCGCGAGAAGGGCCTTCCCACGCGCGGGAGGCGTCGGAACACGCGGGATCGGGGGCGTCCTCACGACCCTCTTGGCCCGCGACACGCATCTGCACGTCGGGACGCCCGCCCAAGGGCTCCCCGCTGCTCTCTGCTTTGGCGTCGTCAAGAAACACCCCCCCACCCCGCGAGGGTGGGGGATGAGGTTGAATCCGCTTTCTCGGGTGGGCTGCTGCCCTCCCGATGGACCAAGAAGATCCCCGACTCCCCGTGTTTCCCCCACCCCACTCCCTCCCCCAAAAGAGGGGAGGGGCGGGATGGAGAGGCTGGGGTGCGGGGGGGTTCCTTTGGCGCACCTGGAGGGCACCAGGTTGGGGAGGAAGGTGGCTGCGATGGTGATGGAGGGGATGATGGGGAGGAGGGGTCTTGCGTGATCCTTCCTTGCTCTGGATTTGCCAGGTCTCCTCCATCGTGCCTCTCTTCGAGACGGGGATGATGGGGGTTGGGGTCCCTTTGGTGCACCTGGAGGGCACCAGGTTGGGGAGGAACGTGGCTGCGGTGGAGGTGGTGGGCTTGCCTCATCCTTTCTTTGCCAGGTCTCCTCCTCCTCCATCAAATGCCTCTTCCCCCCTCCCTTCCAGACCGACAGGATGGGGATGATGGGGGTTAGGGTCCCCTTGGCACACCTGGGAGGCACCACGTTGGGGAGGAACGTGGCTGCGGGAGCCGAGGCTGTGATGGTGGAAGGGATGCTGGAGGCTCGCTTGATTCTTCTGTATTTGCCAGGTCTCCTTTCCATCAAAAGGCCACTCTCCTTCTGACACCCCCATTCAGACTGGGTTGGAGCAGATAGATGGCCCTTGGGCGCCCCCCTACCCTTGCATGGTGGCTTCAAGGATGCATGCAGCAGGATGGCCTCTCCCATTACCGTGATTCCTCCCTCCTGCTTGGCTCTCCATCCTGTCACTCCGAGGCAACTGTTACATAATCCTGGGATTGGGAGCAGTGCATCCTTGCTGGATCCCCAAATTCCTTTTCTCCCAGGCGCGCCTCCCTGGCTGCAAAAAAAACACACACACACACCCCAGCCCTTGAGATGCTCCTCATCGGATCTGTGTCCCTGCATGAGTGTGTCCCTACGACCTACATTGGGGTCAGTTTGCATGATCCCCTCTGCAAGAGGAAGGCATTGGTGATATCATTCTTTCTTGGACCAAACAGGTTAAAAAAAAAAAAAGAATTCCAAGGAGAATCTCACCTTCTGGGAGAGAAAGGATGGGTTTACAGGAGGAACATTAGCTTGGGAAGGAGATGGAAAGAAGGCGTGTGTGGTGGGGTGTGTTTTTTTTTTTTTTTTTGGTGGAATCGCTTTGGAGAAAGGTGCAAAGGGAGATCTTCCGATTGTGGACCCATGTGCCTTGTTATGTAACTTAAGGATTAGGACATATCCTGCTTGAAATATTTTGGAAAGGGGAGGGGGAAGTGTGGAATTTTGTCGGAGAGGCAGGATGGATGAAAGGATTCCTGTTCCATGGGCACAAAAGAGGAGGGTTTGTTCTTCGGGCCGAAGTTGATTGGGGAGAGAAGTTGGAGGTCAAACCTCTTGGTGTTGGGCCTCTTGGGAGAGGCGCCTGCAGAGGTTGTGGGAAGGGGAAAGGGGCCTTTCGGACAGAGATAACCCCAACCCCCTTGTGTGAAATGATGCCTCGGTGGGACACACGGGACAGGTCTCGGGTGCGAGAGATGCCTCTTGAGGAGCATGCAAATGGAAATGATGAATGAGATTTTTCTGGCAAAGGAGGTGGACAACGCAGGACATCTGAATGCGGTGGGGTTTGGAGGAGGAGGAGACCCGGAAGAGAGGGTGGGAGCATGGGGAGGGTTTTGGACCTGCTTGGTGGGGAGGGGGGGGGGGGGGGACAGGGACCGAAGCTCGGAGAGGAATAACTGCTGGTTCCAAAGAGATCAGAAGCTGGGAACGGCACCAGGAGCAGCGTGTGAATGAATTGGACAGGGCAGAGGCTGCGAGGGTGCAGGAGGAAGAGATTTCAGGGGTTATGCAACAAAAGCAGAGGAGCAGAAGGGTTGTGCGAATGCAGGCGCCAGGTAGAAAGGAGGAGGGGTGTCCTTTGATGGCAGTTGGGAAGAGATTTCATGCTGGTGGTACTTTTGAATTAATTGCAGAAGCCTGGTGGGGTGGGGGAGGGTTCCTGCTAGGAACCCTCTGGGATATCTGCATGGGGGTTTATACTGATGGTCTGTAATGGGTTTCCCCAGGGAGGATAAGAGATTGGAGACTCCGGAGGGGAGGGGAGCCAGTCAGGGCAAGAGGAATGGAGAGGCCACCGCTGAGAAGCCAAGGCCACTTTGAAGCGCTCTTTACGGTTATCCTAGAGACAAGAAGGTGGAAGGAGTGAGAAAGAAAGAAACAATCCTGGAAACAGAAATCGAAATCAGTTTTTTTGCTCTTTCGCATGCCTGCGTAGGTAACTCTTCCGAACGTGGTTTTAGGGTGGAGCGAAAGAGAATATGAATCTCCCTCTCTCCCTCCCTCTCTCCCTCCCTCTGTCTCTTCCTCTCCCCCCCCCCCCCCTCTCCCCCCCCCCCCCCCCCCCAATCTTTGCCAAACGAAAGTATTCGGGCTTAGGAAGAACAGAGAGAGAGAAGGTACTGAAACCAAAAGCTGAACAAAGTCGGTGGTAAATCTGGATGACTTGCAGTTTAGCAAGAAAATATTGTTTTTCCAGCCAGCCCAGCAGCTGAAAAGCAAAATCCGGGCTGTGTGTAAACCTGAACAGACCCTCCTAGGAAAATAAATTCTGGAGCTCAGACTTGCTGGGGAAGTCACTCTGTTTATTAGTTCTAACAGATAAATTGTTCCTTTTCTTAGTGTGGTTCAAGTTGCTCTGTTTCATCTGAAATTAAGGCTGCCAAATGGATAATCCTATAGCGAGTCAGGAGGCTTAACTTTCCCCTCTGAAGCCCCTTCCCACATTTACCCCACATTGACTGAGCTGAAAGGATGAAATGAATTTAGGGAGGAAAAGACTAAGTGGCAGGTGGTTCTCAACTTACGACCACAGTTGAACCCAAGCGAGACATTCGTTAAGTTGAGTTTTGCCCAGTTTTTACGGTCTTTCTTGCCACACAGTTAAGTGAATCACTGCAGTTCAGTTAGCAACACGGTTGTTAAATGAATCGGGCTTTCCTCTTTGATTCTGCTTGTCAGAAGGTTGCAAAAGGGGATCACTGCGACGGTCGTAAATATGAGCCAGTTGCCAAGCATCTGGATTTTGATCACGTGACCCTGGGGATGCTGCAAGTGTGAAAAACCAGTCATAAGTCGGTTTTTTTGCCGGTGCCGTGGTCATTTTGAATGGTCATTAAACAAACTGTCGTAACTCGAGGAATTCTTGTAGTTATCATAGGAGGCCTCAAGACTGTATAGCAACAGCACTTAGACTTATATACCACTTCACATTGCTTTACAGCCCTCTCTAAGCAGTTTACAGAGTCAGCCTCTTGTCCCCCAACAATCTGGGTCCTCATTTTATCCACCTGGGAAGGACGCAAGGCTGAGTCAACCTTGAGTCAGTGAGAATCAAATTGCTGGCTGTGGGCAGAGTTAGCCTGAAATATTACATTCTAATCACTGGGAAGGTAAAAGGGGAAGGAAGGAAGGAAGGAAGGAAGGAAGGAAGGAAGGAAGGAAGGAAGGAAGGAAGGAAGGAAAATAACATCTGAAAGAATGGGAGGAACAAAGGAAGATAACATCTGAAAGAATGGGAGGAAGGAAGGGGAGAGGAAGGAAGGAAGGAAGGAAGGAAGGAAGGAAGGAAGGGCAATAGCACTTAGCAAATAGCACTTTAGTGATCACCCAACAATCTGGGTCCTCATTTTACTCACCTCAGAAGGTTGGGAGGCTGAGTCAACCTTGAACCTGGCGAGAATCAAACTGCCAAATTGCAGGCAGGCAATCCGCCTGCCATTGGGGTGTCGCTGCAGTGAAGGTCAGAAGGGGTGTTTCTTGAACCGGACTTGTGGGGAGACAGGTGATTTTGGGGGGGGGGGGGGGGG